TCAGAGTACATGGCAATGTTCCATGGGGTGAAGGAGGTGATTTGGCTGAGGAGGCTGTTAGAGGAGATTGGCCAGGAGCAGAAGGTTGCTACGCCGCTGTTTTGTGATAGCAAGGGCGCTCTGGGGATGGCCAGGAACGCTGTGCTTCAAAGGCTGAACAAGCACATGTGTATCAAGTGGCACTGGCTGCGTAAGGAGGTGAAGAGGGGGACAGTGAATCCGATCTACATCAAGACTCACCAGCAGCCAGCAGACTTTCTCACCAAGAGGCTTGCGGATGAGCCTCATTGGCGTTGTGTGCGCATGAGTGGAATGAGCATGAACTAGCATGGAATGATGGGGATGCAGCCGGCAGGCTGAGGGGGAGTGTGTTGGGTGCAAATTTATATTGCACGACATCCTGCCGTCTGTTTGTACGAGTATGTGTGTGCGAATGCATTTGGGTGTGAATGGAATGTTCGTGTGTTTGTTTGCTTTTGCAATTTTCGCTTGATGCATTTGCAGGTACTCGCGCAATGTGCGCTTCGGCACAACATTGTACGTGCTATGAACAGTGCAAGCAGAAAGGACAAGATCGCAAAGGAACCCAAGATGGAAGCTTTGCGGTTCGGTTGAATGGATTGCGCAGATTCAGTTCTATCCAACTCGAAATTGTACTGTTTTGTTTGGTTGACTATAGTGTAGCAGGGCAGGCACTATAGGGGTACAATTTGGGTGAAGGTTGGATGTTGTTTGTCTGTATCTGCATGCTACAGGGCCAGGGGAAACCAGCGGAACCAGCATTTGGCTGGTTAGGCTAAGACAAAAACAGGTTCTGATTTTAGAACCTGAACCTGGTTGTTGTTTTCACAGGTTGGAAAAACAGAACCAGAGGTTGTTTACCAACCTACCACCTGCTATTTTGTCCAGCCAGGTTGGTTCTGTTGCTTGGAATTATTTGGGATCATCCCTGGTTGTTCCCAGGTTGATTCCCAAGGTCCTTGCTAGCTAGAACTATATATTCCTTCTCTGTTTGTACCTGAATGTAGTCACTTGATTCAAGCGAATTCCTTCCTCGCTAGAGTTTCGTTTCTGCGCTATTCGACGGCGGAATGCTACCTGAGTCAACGCTAGTATGCTAGCACTCCCACGCTAGGCAAACGCTGTCCGAGCCATAACTTAGTAATGGCAGAACTTTTCGCGAGGCAACTTGGCTTATTTTAAAGCTCTTGGAGCGAGCTTCGTTATAGCGAATTCTCAGCTTAATCCGATCGACGATCTGCACGGCACGCTGCGCGACGTTCAAGGTACTCTTGCTATTTTGGCTAAGTCATTCTTGACTCCTCTCTCTACAAACTCGGACCCAAGGATAGGGGCTGGTTTTGTACCAGGCACCCAGGGACCCTTGGAGGTGACCCCGAGGAGAGGTTTTAAGATTGATTAAGTCTTAATAGCCTGAGTTTATTACGCCCTTACACCAACAATGAGCACGTCGTCCAAGGTAACTGGCTTCCCGTCAGCTCCCTTGAAGGCTGCCTTGCTGATCCCTATCACCTGCATCTTATACCCGCATCCTTAATTCATCTCTGTGATGCTCATTTTTCTCATCTCATCCAGCAGGTCCGCCCTCGGGGTCATGTGACATGCAGCTCCGGAGTCTAGAATCCAAGTGTTGGGAGGAGTAGGCTCTGCTCCCTCCTTGACAGATGCTTTCTTGCTCCCCCCATTCCCTTGCACATGGAAGAACGGTCTTGGAGCTCTTTCCCAATCATCTCCCCCTCCTCTTGCGGCCTTTGCTACATAACCAACTCCACAATGTTGGTTTTGTGCTTCGTCATTATCCTTGTGTCCGGGAGTCCACCACTTGGGTCGCTTCCAGCATTTCACCCACGTGTCTCCCGGCTTCTTGTAATACCAGCACGTGTCCTTGAACCCGTGGTAGCCACCATCATCATCTGTGTCATCAGCTTCTTCCTCATCACTTTTGCCGCTCCTCTGCTCCAAGTCATCACGTCCCATTTTTAGCCGTCCACGCTCACCACGCGCTTTTCCTTTGCGCCAGCTGCCACCTTGAACTCCGTAGCCGCCATCTCCATCTTGATTGTAATTCAGGTTCTTCCTCCTAAAATCCTCCACCAAAATTTAGGTTCGTACCCACTCTAATGTCCAAGAATCCTGTTACTGAGGAAGACTAATCCCACTCGTGAACTGCAGCCAAGACTCGGGCAACAATGACAGCATATGCAAGCACCTCGTTTGCTCCGAGTAGGTTATGCCCGCAATCCTCAACTTCGCGTATAACTCCTGCATCTTGTCAAGGACGGGTTGAATCGGCTCCCCTTCGTTTAGATGCAACGACGCAAGTTCATGCTCTAGCATGAGCATTGCAACCACCGAGGTTGGCGCATGCAGCTCCTAAAGCACCTTCCAAGCTAGTGGTCCGCATTCAGCCTTCTCCAGTAGATGCATGACGTGCGATCTCTGGTTGAGATCCAAACTCTGCGATAGGAGGTAGTAGCCTGCAGTAGCATGCTCATCCCACTCCTCTTGCAGGTTGGGGTCGTCCGGCCTTTTCTCCACGCCCGTCATCAGCTTCAGCAATCCCACTTGCCGAAACTACAACTGCATTTTCCACGCCCAATCATCGTAGTTGTTGCCGTTGAACTTGTCGACGACTAAGTTCTTGAGCACCTTCTTCAATAGTGAGCCACAGCTGATCCGCACTCCCCTTGGCATTGAAGCACCGTCATCTTGGACTCCACTATTCGCTCGTGCCAAAGGTCCTTCATTTCCGCTTGACTCCATAGTGTTTTAACGGCAATACGTCCAATCTTCAGCTCTGATACCACTTGATAACTGCTATAGCCTATGCGGAAGCATTCAAACCTTCACTACAAGCTTAACACTTAACTTCCATTGTTGCCCTCCGAGTGTGACAACGTGTCACCTCCCAGCCAAGGGCATAACAAAATTCACAAGGGAGTAGTTATGCCTCGTTCAGGTGTAGGATGAATGAACTCGTCAAGCTGCGTTTCGGCATCACCACGTTGGTACTTCTACTCTCGTCAATACATAGTAGTAGAATTTCATTCATTCAAGATTGATGACAAACAACGCAAGCACAAATCTATACTAACCTACCAAAAGCGAAAGCAAACAGCCCACCAAAACAAAAGCTAGCACCGTACTTCCGAAATGCCAACTTTCTCCACGCAAACTCAGTGGGGACATACTCGCCCACGCACAATTATGCAGTCCATACTTTCCCATGCGATTCCATGAAAACGCGTGGCCTTTTACGAGCATGACAGCTCATGACCATACGTGACAGTTCATGAAAATACCTGATCAATTCGAGCAGTTACGCGACGAAATTATGAATTCGTCGAAATTCTTCTCGCTCACTTTGCACCAGCTTTGAATATAAATCGCGCACGTCGCGAAACTCCCTGGCAAAATTTCCACCTCAGAGAATGAAGACAAAACGCTCGAGGGTCATATGAATTCAATCCTGGACCCACGCGCGCTCGTCCTTTACCACGCGCCACCTCACTGCCACATTCCCGCGTGTGGCCGAAACACTCGTGGGTCAAGGCTCGCAGCCTCAGGCCACGCGTGTGTCTCGACTGGAACCCCTCGGCCCCTTTTAGCACTACGCGCATGATTGCGCAACAGGGCTCGGGCTCATTCCCTCGAGCCTTGACCAGCGCAAAATTGGTCAAAGGGAAGAAAACACTCGCTTCCCTCTCATAAACACAAATGGAAACTCGTGACAGAAAACATGAACAAACATGAACGGAACATAAACTGACTGTCAAATTATATGTTTCATATTATTTAGTTCTAGGTTGTGTAGGGGTGATTCTTAGAGGGTACATCAATTCTCTCGATACTCTTGTACCCCCTCCCCTAACCTAATCGACATACTTTCCTCTCTAGACATGGTATAGAGCAGGAAGTTTCCTAGGGCCCACCACGGAAAACAATTTTTTTTTTCCTGCCCGGAGCGCGCTTCGCGCCTACCCTAGTCGCGCCCCGTGCGCCTGTCCCTAACGGCCCGTCGCGGCCCCTCTTTTACCGTCCTCTCGCGGCCCCTCGTTGGCCCCTCGCGATCCCCGCTTACGGCCCCTTAGCGGCCCCCCTGTTCGCGGCCTCGTCGCCCTCCCCCCCCCGCGCGGCTCTGTCGCCGCCAATTCGCGACCCCGTCGCCGCCCCTACGCGGCTTCGTCGTCGCCCCTACGCGGCCTCGTCGCCGCCCATACGCGACTCCGTCGCCGCCCTCCCCTTCGCGGCTCTGTTGCCGCCTCTTCGCGGCTTCGTCGCCGCCCCTCGCCGCCCTTCGCGGCCCCTCCAGGACCCGTCGCGGTCCCCTTCCCTCTCGTCTGCAGCAGCTGTCGCCGCTGAGACTGCAACAGCTGCCGCCGCAGAGCCTACAGCAGCAGCCGCGGCCGGACCTGCAGTAGCAGCCGCCGCCGAGCCAGCAGCAGCAGCCGCGGTCTGACCTGCAGTAGCAGCCGCCGCCAGACCTGCAGCAGCTGCCGCGGCCCAGCCTGCAGCAGCAGCCGCCGCCGGACCTGCACCAACTGCCGCCGCCGAGCCTGCAGCACCAGCCGCGGCAGAGCTTGCAGTCCCAGCCGCCACCAGACCTACAGCAGCGGCCGCCACCGACCCTGCAGCAGCAGCTGCCGCCGACCCTGCAGCAGCAGCCGCCGCCGGACCTACAGCAGCGGCTGCCGCAGACCCTGCAGCAGCTGCCGCCGCCGAGCCTGCAGCAGCAGCCGCCGCCAGACCTGCAGCAGCTGCCGCCGCCGAGCCTGCAGCAGCAGCCGCCGTTCGAGAATACCACAGCAGCCGCCGCCGTCCCTGCAGCAGCGGCCGTTCCCGAGCCTTCAGCAGCTACCGCCGCCGCAGCCGTCACTGCCCCGGCCCTGCCCTGCTAGAGCCGCACTGCCCTGCCCTACCGCGCTACTGCAGCTGCTGTCACTGCTACTAACGCTACTACTGTTCCTCCTACTGCTACTATGGCTAGCCCTCCTGTGCTAGCCTTCGATGCTGAGGGCCGCCCAGTGAAGTTCGACACCTGGCTAGATGACCTGCACCTCTTCCTACAGCTCACTGCCAAGGAGGACATTTCACTGTACGATCACGCCCTAGGCCATGCTACTGCCCCTGACACTACTGCTGACAGCACTCTGCGCTCCCAGTGGCAGACCCGTGACGCGCACGCTCGCTTCGCTATTCGCAACTCCCTACCGCTAGATGAGCGCGAGCACTTCGGCCAGTGCAAGACTGCTAAGGAACTGTACACAGCCGTAGTTGCTCGTTACTCCTCACCTGCGTCTGCCGCACTAGGCCGCCTCTCACTGCCCTACCTGTTCCCCGACCTGGCCTCCTTTCACACTGTTGCTGACCTCATTACCCACCTCAAGACTAGTGAGGCCCGCTTTCGCGCTGCTATGCCTGCCGAGTTCCTTGCTAGCAACCCCCCCCGCTCTGGCTCACTCTCTACCACATTGTCACCCGCCTCCCTGACTCTCTGCGCACAGTCAGGGATTCCTTTCTAGCTCGCTCCCCCACTGAACTCACCATTGCCCTCCTCGAGAAGGAACTCCTTGCAGCTGAGGCGAGCATCGTCGCCGTAGGTGCCTCTCGTGGCGAGCCCCGCACCCCCTTCTTTGAGGGGTGTTCCCCTTCCCCCCTTCTCCCCTCTGTCGCCTCTGCTTCTGCTGTCGACCTCCTTGGTGCTGAGGTGGTCGGGACCGCGTCTGCTTCGAGCGGGCGCCGCAGGACCAAAGGAGGCAAGGGTGGAGGTGGCGGCGGGGGAGGCGGGGGTGGAGGCGGTGGGAGTGGAGGAGGGGCTGGAGAGACTAGTGGCGGCAGTGGGGGTAGTGACGGCAGCGGCGGAGGCGGTGGCAGGGGCGGGGGCGGCAGCGGGGGCGGCGGTGGTCGTGGCAGCGGCAGGGGAGGGGGTGGTCGAGGAGGTGGCAGCGGCGGTGGTGGTCGTGGAGGCGCTGGCGGTGGTCCGAGCCAGCAGCACACTCCGTCGCTCCAGGAGGCCCGTGAGTGGTATGCGCAGCGTGGGGGGGCGGGTGGCCTTAGCTGCACGTACGTCATCCGCACTGGTGACCGCGCTGGTCAGACGTGTGGGAAGCCGCACCCCACGCCGCGCTGTTTCGCGCGCCTTGACGACGCTTGGCGCACTCAGTTCCCTGACGGCAATGAGCTGCCCCGCTGGTTTGATCTAGAGAAGAAGGGAATTGATATCTGGGCTTTAGACTTTGATGCTATTCTCACTGCCATGTATGCTATGTTTACTAGTGGAGAGGGTGCTCAGTACTTGCGTGTTCCGCCCGACCCGGGCATTCTGACCAGTGAGGCTGCTGCTCTAGGTGCTAGTGCGTCTGCAGCTCCAGGTGCTCGCGTGTCTGCTACCCCTGGTGATGGTGAGGCTGCCACTCTAGGTGCTGGTGAGTCTGTCTCCCCTGGTACTGAGTCGACTGCGGCACTGCACACCTTCACACTGGACTCAGGTGCTTCTCGTTGTTTCTTTCGAGATCGCACTGCCCTTGAGCCACTCGCTCGGCCAGTTGCTGTCTCCCTTGCTGACCCCTCTGGGGGTCTGGTCATTGCGACCTCCTCCACTGTTCCCTGTCTGGTCTCCACCTCCCCTCGTTCTCTACGAACTTGGTGGCGGGTTGTGCGCTCCAGGACGCGGGTGTTCACCAGTTCACCCCTGCCTACGAGCGACTGCATTGAGCAGTCGTTCACGCTTCCGGCCTCTCCACAGCAGAATGGGGTTGCTGAGCGCCGCATTGGCTTGGTCATGGAGGTCGCTCGTACCTCCTTGGTTCATGCGGCTGCCCCCCATTTTCTATGGCCGTTTGCAGTCCAATACGCTGCGCATCAGCTCAACCTCTGGCCCCGAGTCTCCCTCCCGGAGACTTCTCCGACACTGCGTTGGATGGGAGAGGCTGGCGATGCGTCGCGTTTTCGGGTCTGGGGATCCCGAGCTTTTGTCCGCGACGCGTCCGCGGACAAGCTCTCCCGTCGCGCTGTCCCCTGTGTCTTCCTTGGCTTTGTCCCGGACGCCCCTGGTTGGCAGTTCTACCACGCCACCTCGCGTCGTGTCCTGGCCTCTCAGGACGTCACTTTTGACGAGTCCGTCCCCTACTACCGCCTCTTCCCCTACCGCACTGCCCCGCTCCCCCCTCCGCCTCTCTTCCTCGCTCCAGGTGCTGAGGTACCAGACCCCCTCCCCCCTCAGGGTGCCGCTCCCTCAGGTGTGTCCCAGGTAGACCCGGGTGAGCCTGTCGAGGTAGCTGTCGACTCTCGTCCTGCTAGGGGTGCTGAGCCTGGGGGTGCTGAGCCTGGGAGTACTGAGTCTGGAGGTGCGGAGCCTGGAGGTGCGGAGCCTGGAGGTGCGGAGCCTGGAGGTGCGGAGCCTAGAGGTGCTGAGTCTGGGGGTGCTGAGTCTGGGGGTGCTGAGCCTGCGCGTACTACACCTGGAGGAGCCCTCTCCTCCCGGCAGCTGCAGGAGAGGTACCTACAGTACTGCCGCCTCCGGAGAGGTACTACTGGAGCTCGTACCAGTACTTCCCCTCCTGCCCAGGAGCTCCCCCCCATTCAGCAGATCCGAGAGTGGTACACGCGGCGCTGCAGTCTTCGGAGTGGTGCTCCTGGTGCTGCGGACCCTGGGGTTGGCGCTCCTACTGGTGCTGAGGACCCGGGCGTTGGAGCTGCTGCTGGTACTGAGGACCCGAGTGGTGGAGCTGCTGCTGGTGCTGAGGACCCGGGCGTTGGAGCTGCTGTTGGTGCTGAGGACCCGAGTGGTGGCGCTGCTGCTGGTGCTGAGGACCCGGACGGTGGAGCTGCTACTGGTGCTGAGGACCCGGGCGTTGGAGCTGCTGCTGGAGCTGAGGACCCGGGCGGTGGAGCTGCTGCTGGTGCTGCGGACCCGAGCGGTGGAGCTGCTGCTGGTGCTGAGGACCTCGCCACTGCTGTCACTGCTGGTTCTGGAGATGCTGCGCGGCCGCGACCGTACTTCGTACCACTTCTTCAGCAGGTTCTTGGTCAGGCTCCTCCTCCTTGTCCTCCTCCCTCCGTAGAGTGTCCTCCGCCTGTCCAGCCGCAGTCACAGTTACCGCCTGCCTCGCCTCTCCCTGCTCCCTCTCCTTACACTGGTCCCACAGGAGGTCTTACAGAGCGTCGTGAGCCTGAGTCTCGTCCTGCGTCGCCTGTCCGTACTGCTCGCACTGGTCGTCGTGTCCCACGTGAGCGTCCTCCTCCTGTCCCTGGCACTCACTACATGACTCTGCGTCCCTCCACTGCTCCTCAGCGTGTCCCTCTGCCGTCTCCTCCTGCGTCCTCTCTACCTACTCTTCCTGACCCGGAGTCTGACTCCCGTCGTGCTGCCAGTCCCACTGTCACGCGTCTCCTCGCTACTGTTGTCACTGACCCTTCCTTTGAGTCCTCTGCTGCGTCTGCTCTGGTCGCTGAGTTGGTTGACTTTGCTGCCCGCTGTCGTCTAGACTACGCCGCTAGCCTTGTTGCTGAGTCTGACTCTGTCTGTCCTCCGTCCGTCGGGGGTGAGTGTGCTCTTGGCACGGACGTCCTTGAGGACAGACAGGAGGAGTTCCAGTGCTTTGCTGCTGCTTTGCCCCGTCTCGTGTCCATGCTAGTTGCCCCTGAGGGAGACCCGGATGCACCAGACATCCCGACCCCGCGCTCTTACGCTGAGGCGATGGCGGGTCCCTACTCCTCTCAGTGGCAGACAGCCATGGACGCAGAGATGGCTTCCTGGAAGTCCACAGGCACCTACGTCGACGAGGTTCCCCCACCTGGGGCAAACATCGTCAGTGGCATGTGGATTTTCAGGGTGAAGCGACCGCCGGGTTCTCCTCCTGTCTTCAAGGCGCGCTACATTGCTCGAGGCTTCAGTCAGCGAGAGGGAGTAGACTTCTTCCAGACCTTCGGGTGCTGCTACACATAGCCGCTCAGCGCGACTACGAGCTTCACTCACTTGACTTCAGCACTGCTTTCTTGCAGGGCAGCCTGCACGAGGAGATCTGGCTACGTCGCCCACCTGGCTTCACTGGGTTGGTTCCTCCTGGTACCCAGTGGAGGCTCCAGCGGCCGGTCTACGGTCTCCGCCAGGCACCACGTGAGTGGTACGACACACTGAGGACGACACTTGCGGCTCTTGGGTTCGCTCCCTCTACTGCTGACCCGTCACTGTTTCTACGCACTGACACCTCGCTGCCGCCGTTCTACATCCTCGTGTACGTCGACGACTTGGTCTTTGCCACTGCTGACACTGCGGCACTCGCCCACGTGAAGTCGGAGCTGCAGAGGAGACACACGTGCACAGACCTGGGTGAACTGACAAGCTATCTTGGCTTGCGGATCACCCGGGACAGAGCACGGCGCACCATCACCTTGACTCAGTCACACATGGTGCAGCAGATCCTCCAGCGCTTCCGCTTCACGTACTCCTCGCCTCAGTCCACTCCTCTGCCTACCGGTCACTCGCTCTCAGCTCTGCCTTCGGATGAGTCCGTAGAGCCGAGTGGCCCGTATCCAGAGCTTGTGGGCTGCCTCATGTACCTGATGACCTGCACTCGACCTGACCTGGCATACCCTCTTAGCATCCTTGCACGCTATGTCGCTCCTGGCCGTCACAGGAAGGAGCACATGGATGCCGCTAAGAGGGTGTTGCGCTACTTGTGCAGTACGTCGGGCATGGGGCTAGTGCTTGGAGGGCGGGACCGAGTTGTACTCACAGGACACTCAGATGCTTCTTGGGCGGACGATCAGGCTACTCAGCGGTCGTCTCAGGGTTACACCTTCAGCCTTGGCTCTGGCTCAGTTTCTTGGCGTTCCACACGCTCTTCTTCTGTTCTCAGCTCCAGTTGTGAGGCTGAGATCTACGCCACAGCCATGGCTGCCCAGGAGCTACGCTGGCTGACCTACCTGCTGACCGACCTGGGAGAGCGGCCTCGTTCTCCTCCAGTGCTGTACGTCGACAACAAGGCTGCCATTGCCTTGTGTGAGGAGCACAGACTGGAGCACAGAACGAAGCACATCGCCCTGCGGTACTTCCTTGCTCGAGAGCTGCAGCAGCGCGGTCAGCTTTGTCTGCGTTACGTGGCCACTGAGGCCAACACTGCTGATGTGTTCACCAAGGCGCTTCAGCCTTGTGACCATCAGCGCTTCTGCACTCTGCTAGGCCTTGTGCCTACTGGACCTCACTTGCTTACTTCTTGACCCTGCTTGTACTGTGATCACTATATATATATTCCTGCATGTTTACTCTTGCTAGGTTGTGATCACTGTATCTCTTGCTTTGTTATAAACCTGCATGTGAACTGGCCTTGTGGCCACCTGCTTGTGCTCAGACTGTGTGGTGTCCTTGAGATCCACCCTGAGCTTTGTCTTGCTTGCTTTTCTGCTTGACTGGTCTTGTGACCACTGTTAGGTTTGGCTATCCCCCCTACTTCACCTATGGGGGTGTGTCAAATTATATGTTTCATATTATTTAGTTCTAGGTTGTGTAGGGGTGATTCTTAGAGGGTACATCAATTCTCTCGATACTCTTGTACCCCCTCCCCTAACCTAATCGACATACTTTCCTCTCTAGTTCTAACACTGTCATGAACGAACATGAACACTCATGAACGCCCCACGAATGACCATGAACGCTCAAAACATCACGAACAATCAGGTAACAACACGAACACACATGACGATTCGGAACTCCTCGCATGCATACACGGAATACACGCGAACAGCCATGAAAACTCATGAATGCAACCTCACACTAAAATGCCTTTAACTCATGAACCGCTAAGGCGATTGAAAAACCGTAAATGCCAATTGATAAGCACACAAATGCACATTCCACACGACAAAAATTACCTTAAAAAAAAATCCTTCAAATCCCACCTTGCTCGATGAATAGGCGACACGTTGACGTGCAAAATACATTTTGCACTCAACAGCGATGCCATTAAGACACTCATGAAACCATATAGCAAATAAAAGGAGTAAAAGAATAGTGCGATATATCACGGGTCGTACAACAGAAGTGGTATCTGTTTGGGGAAGAAGATGACTTCAAAAAAACGTTGAAAATCACTATCGAATGGAATAAAGGCATGGCGTACACTTTACATCAACGTGACAGCGAAAATCGAGGGCGAATGCAATAAAAGGTGAAAATTGTATTAGGAACTTAATTAACAATCCTTGCAGACACAAACTAACACGTATAACTGAAAGGAGTATGAGACTAGGTTCTTGAAAAAATAGCACCAGTTTTTTTGCAAGGCTGGGTGTGGAAATGGTTTGGTTGGGTTGATGGTGACCTTGAGGCGGTAATCAGGCTTGGTTTGGGATAAGAAAGTTGTTGTCACAGGTGGTTGACAAGTTTGCATGTGCGGTATGTAATGTGCTGCTTTAGCAACTTTTTCGTGATGATGTGAGTTTTTGGCGCATGTGACAGTGCGGTCTGAACTGACAGGTGGCACGAAAGTTTTGTACTTATCAAGTGAGGCTGAGTTGCAGGCATCAGTAGGGTGCACAGCTGTGGATACCTTGCGGTTGTGTTTTTGTGGTGAGAGGAAGGGGGTGGGGGTCGGGTGGGGGTGGTCTTTAGTGCCGCACAAAAATGGCGACGGCTCGCGCTTTTCATGTGGTGCTGTATTTGACGCTCCCCTGAGTAGCGCACAGCTTTTGCCTCCCAATATTTGAGTTTGGTA